TTTCTTAGTGGATGCTCATAGGAGAAGTGCATGATGGGACTTGTGGGGGGAAAATATCATTGACCACAGAAAATGTCCCCCCCCCCCCCCCCCCCCCTTCTTACTAATCTTTTGACCTTAACTACAACTGACCATGGTCTTTTGTGTCTTAGATACCTTCAGTTCAAATTAAATTGGTTTTTCTATATTCCCAGAATTCCTTACTTGCTGAGTGCCTCCAAGCAGTACCCTGGTAAGTTTCTGCTGTCCTACATGCCACGCAATGTGGCACGTCATGAGTATGTGTCTGTCACTCCTGACGGCATCAAGTACAGGAACCAGATATTCAAAAGTGTCAATTCTCTGATCAGGTGGTTTAAGGAACATTTCAGGGACCCAATACCAGGTGAGTTCAGCGTTAGTTTAACTTAGCTTCACATGTGCTGGCTTATCCCCCCTTTCCCCTTCTGGTGCATTTCAAAAACATTTTCAATGAAATTCAAACACGATTGATACTTGCATTATTTGAATACAAGTGAAAAGTAATGTTGAAAGTAATGTAACTACCGCCCTCACCAAGACTTTGTACCACCTGTAATAAAAAATAAAGGAACACTGAAGAGTAACCTAAAACAAGGCTTTATTAAACTAGAACGACACATGATCTGATGTAAGAGACTTGGACAGTAGCATACTAAATCATTGTTGTGAACACGTTCTCACAAACATAAACAAATAGTAACTATTTCACCACACCCCCAACTTAAGCTATGCCATCAATAGTCTGGGTCTAGTGCTAAATTCTCATGACCAGTGTCTAGATCTGTTCAGATTGATTGAAACGATTGTGAACTTTTGTATGTTTGTTTCAGGGACACCCTCCAGTCGAACTCCAGCTATGTCTACCTACACCACACCTGGGGCACATCAAAGTGAGTTTCAGTTATAGTGCTTGAATGTATGGCCTCACAGCTTGAGATATAATAAAAGGTTGAGCTAGCTAGTATATCTGTCAACAAAATCACCAATTTAAACTGTTGGTAATTTAGATATATAATATAGCTTTTATATAGCGCTACTTTCATGCTTATGGCATGCTCAGAGTGCTTTTGGTCCAATCTCATTTGTGGACCATTGGGGGGGGAGGGGGTATCTAGGAGTTGGTTTTCCGTGCTGCCTTTAGGCGCTCAGTAAACACAACTCTGCCCGAGTCAGGTGTCGAACCTCGAGCCCCCTACTAGGTAGCCAAGCCAAGTTCAAGCGCACTTGGCCTCTTGACCACGCTTCCTACTAGATGTGACTTTCTTGTATGCTAGACAAAAGTAGGATTCTTTGAAGCTCTCTAGCATAGTTTTTACCAAGTCCCTTGAGTGGAAAAAATGTCTGAAGCTCTCTGGCACAGTTTTTACCAAGTCCATTGAGTGGAAAAAATGTCCGAAGCTCTTCCTGACTAAAAAATTAACTTGACTATAGAACTGGACTCTAATGTGGACTTGAGTAGTGTCATGGTTATTGCAGTCAGAGCACAATGGAAATTAATGTTAGAACACAGGGTGCAGGTTTGTAGTGTTTGAATGTCCAGCCCCAGTTTAAAATCTTTGTATGTTGGTTTTCAATTTATGTATTCCTTTTTTAATAGAGAGTGGTACATGTTAAGAATACTGCTTTCACATGGCTGAAGAGTGTATGTGTGTTTCTTAGGTTACAATGAGGAAAGAAAGCGATTGTTTTTTTTTTAGTGGTGAAGAATGCTGAAACCATGAGCTGACTGTCATCATTCATGTTAGTTAAAAAGACGGGCTTGATATATGAAAGAAGTTTCAGAGATCCAAGAGAGTAAAGACGTGCATTTGGAATGAGTCGGGTTTTTGTTTAAACATCATTCCAACTCATTACTATTAGATCTACAGCTCTTCTCGTGGAATCTGTGAATGTTGTGAGTAAAAGTTATATTGAGAGTTTTGTTCACACAAAGAATTATTGTGAATATTGTGAGTAAAAGTTATATTGAGAGTTTTGTTCACACAAAGAATTATTGTGAATATTGTGAGTAAAAGTTATATTGAGAGTTTTGTTCACACAAAGAATTATTGTGAGTAAAAGTTATATTGAGAGTTTCGTTCACACAAAGAATTATTGTGAATATTGTGAGTAAAAGTTATATTGAGAGTTTCGTTCACACAAAGAATTATTGTGAATATTGTGATTAAAAGTTATATTGAGAATTTTGTTCACGTTATTTAACGGTTATTTCACTAAAAATAGAGTACACCTACATCGCTACTAGCTGTCTGGAGCTGCAAACCGACCCCCCCCCCCCCCCCCCCTTGTAAATGATTGGAGAGAGAAATTAGTGAGAGCTCTTCTTTGCTGACCTAGATACATTTCAATCACCTGTGCATTGGTTTAATATTCTTTACTGCTAGTTTAAGCTCTGCTTGTGAGTGTGTTTCATGTGGGAATGTTATTCCTATTTGCATCTATATTGTTACTGTTACGGTAGTTACGCTGAGGCTGTCAGTTGTAGTCGAATTGAATTTCCATTTGATAGGACCAATAACAATTATCTTATCTTATCTTAATGATTTTTTTTAAGCGTTTGTTTATTGCTCTTTATTTCAGCCCCAGGGAGGACACCTGTTGGTCGGACACCTGTCAGTGTGTATGGCCACCGTATTGCTACACCACACGGCACAACTCCACGTTCTGTTCCCACTATAACACCCCAAAGAGGACTTGGAGGCTATGGCGGATTCCAGGTAATTCTGTTTAAAAAAAGTAGACCCCTATTCACTAGCCAGTGCATGCTCTTATGGTGCTAGGAAAGAAGTTTCTGTGTATTTAACCCAGTATTAGCAGTAGACAGATGGGAACAGGTCTAAAGATAATTTACATTTTCATTTTCTGTATTTTCAATATTAATTTTGTCCTGTTTATGACAAATCTAAGTTGTAAGGTGTCAATGATATCAATAAGAAAAAAAAACTCTTTTATAAATTTGTTGAAATTAAAGAAAAATGATCTTGGGGCTCAGTTCTGAACAGAGGATGCCATCTAAGATTAATAAACAATTACTATAGAAAGATAATTGTTTCATATGTGGCGTCCAGCAAACAGTTTATTCCGCCCTTTTGAATAGGAAATTGGACCTAATTTGTTTTATTTGTACTATTCAGGAATTGTTTCATTTGTGGTGTCCAGTGTTTCAATATGTCTGATAATTATAATTGAAGGCATTTAGTGCAAGAAGGTGGTCAGGTTTGTATGAAAATTGAGTACAAATTTAATCACCAGGATGGTCTGTGCACCTTCTGGCAAGACTTCTCATGTGTTTGAAGTGTACACATGTGTACATAGTGCCATTGAAAAGATGTACAGGTGGGCTATGTCCACTTAATGCAGTAACTGCAAGGACATGACTACCTTGTAGCACTGAATGGTGTTAACAAAAGGAACACAATTGACCTGTCATACCACTGCGTTGGTTTGAGCCTTATCACATTACATTAGTTTAGCTCATAATTCATATACACAATAATCATAAGTATATTATCTCTGTCAATCTAAGAAGGGGGAGGATTACGGGCACGACTTGGCCTAAATTGTGCAGATGTGCTCAAACTCTAAGAAGGGGGTGTCCAATCTCTTTCAAAAAATGAATACCTTTCTTCTTATGTTGACAGAAAAGTAAGTTATAGAGAATCGCCCCTGATCCCTAAGATAGCCCAGTGGAACTGATGGAATTGATAATCAAGACTGGAAACACTTAATTTAAGTTCATAGCCCACAAGAACCAAATATCTTGAGGAACAAAATGAACTTTTTTTTTTGCCATTTTTCTCAAATTGACCAAAAAAAAAGTTACTTTACCACTTCTTATCTTATCTTATCTTATACAATACAGACAGTTACTTCAAAAAAGAAGATGATTACGTCCTAGGCGTCATGCATTTAGTCATGCATATCAACCAATGACTTAAATTCTGCCAAGTCACTGGTTTTCCTGGCTAGCCCAGGCAACCCATTCCATGCTCTAATAGCACTAGGGAAGAAGGAGTATTTGTACAAATTTGTTCTTGATTTAGGTCCTTTACTTGTGGCATATTTTATGTTTAGCAATCTATCTGTTTTATGTTATATTCAGCAGTTGATTTGTTTCCTTTGTTCTATTTAGCAGTGTATTTCATGCCATGGCCATAAATTAATTTCTTTCCTTTTTGTCTTGTTCAGCCGGCTGTTACTCCAGTAATGACACCTATGTTTACCCCCTCCTCCTCCTACCAAGGACCACACATGACCACGCCTAGAAGTGGAGCCACACCGTCCTACCAGCCAACTCCTCGTCTGGCAGTGGGACCAGGAGCACCATGGCCTGGTGTCACTCCACGAACACCAGCTGCCAGAACACCTCGTCAGGTCACCCAGACTCCCACATCCTACAGCACACCCAGACAGAATGAGCGATCAGCTGGGTCCAGCAGTGACATGGACTGGGCGAGGGCGGCAGAAATGTGGGCCAACAGAAAGAAAACGGCCAAATCCCCTCGGCCATCACCCAAACAAAGTCCAGCTCGTAGGGTGATGGGCTCTCCGTTTGGGGGCGGCATGTCTCCCCAAGGGGATGGAACACCATTAGTTGATGAAAGGTAGCAACTATGTCTGAGTTGAAATATCCTGGAGTTGTTTTGATCTGTGAAGGACTTGTATTTACATGCCTTGGTTTATTTCTTTCCAATGTTAATGAGGGAGTGTAGCCACATACAAGCTATTTTAAAACAGCTAACTATTGATGTGTGATTGGCTCTTGCGGTGTGACCAGTGAAGCTGCTCTGTTCTGTCTTTGGTCAGAAAAATCGTGTTGCCATGGTGACTATGTCCTGTCTTCATGTCGACTCGATCCTGACTGCTGTGTGAAGCATTCACATGTTGCCATGGCGACAAGGCTCGTTGCACAAAGTGTTAACTCAAAATGACCCCAGCAATAAGGAATGGTTTTCCCCACGCCCCCCCCCCCCCCCCCCCCCCCCCCCCCATATGGTCAACGTTCCTTCACCTGACAAGGTGATATAAGTTGTTTTTTTTAATATGTAAGTATTAAACAAATATTTAATAAATAGAGCTTTAGGTCTAGTGTGTGTTGTACTCTGCTCAAAGCTGCACACAAGACATTGATAGATTCTCTTTAGGTTTATCCAAATGTTTCTAGTTAATGATTTGCTTTTAACAATATATATATGCCATGTTCTTTAATTTTTGTACATTTGATTGTTTTGAAGGACTCACAGTTTAAAACTTTTGTTTAGACACTAGATAGCTTCCTTAGTCTTTGCAATGAAATTGTCAGAATTTAAAACATTTTTTCAAAAATGAATGATTGTGTTGTAGCTCTATCACTGGAGGTACAGAAATAAAAGATTTCAATAGTTGCATTGTGTCATTTACTTAGACATTCCCTTGCCATTTAGAGTAATAAGCTGCAAACTGGTCTGTAGAAATTGGTCTGCACTCTCTTCCCAGTTGGTCCAAAGTTGTCATCAGGAGTAGGCTGGCTTGACAAGTTGGATTATCTCATCGCTGAGTAAGGTTTAGGGCTGGGCATGGGGCTTGCGACTCCATGTAAAGCCTTACCTGATACTGAAATGGCAATCATTGAACATTTGGTATGTCACATATGAAACTATGAACTTTCCTAGCGCGCATTCTTTGACCAAAGATCTGAATCAGCACAAAGATAGTTCAAAGCAGTCAAAGGATGGGGTGAAACTGTTTCATGTTGAAATCGTTCTCCCATCATAAAGTAGACTCAAACAAGAGAAAGGGCTCTTTTAATGAGTAGACAAAAAAATAAACTCAACTGGCAGCAATGAAATAGTATTTATTTATATAGTCAAGTGCACACCACAAATGAACCAAAACAAATCTACAAGTTCAGATAATTCTCAGCATGGATATCTTCACATTATCAATGACATCACAGAGATCTGTCCCCACATCTAGTGTGTGTGTGACAAAATACGTTTTATTTACAGTTGACACATCTCTTTAGTTACAGATTTAAAAAAGAAAAAATTGAAAATCAAATAAAAAAAATCTGAATACAATTTAAAAAAAACAATCTTCTGTTGATAAACTATTGTACACATGCCATTGAACAGGAAAATATTAGATTTAGCTTGGAGTTATACATATAAAAACAGCTTAGTAGGTCATAATGGACTGAGGATGGTGCCAGAGATACAGAGTGGATGGGAGACAGACTATTTACCTGGCATGTTCTCCAATGATCTCAGACATCTTACAGTGATACATCAGCTTGGTTTAAAATGAAAATCTAGGTTTCTAAATGCAACATCAAGGAAAAAGTGCAGCCTTCTAGTCAGCACAGGAAAAATATTCAAGTTTGAATTTGAGTGGCAAGAAGACAACTTGGTCCTGCTAAGTAAGAGCATGGACAAACACTGGGTAGCTGCTGTCACTAGTCAATTGCAGCCACAAAGCAAAGATATAGATGTATCATGTATGGGATTGATGTTTGGCCATGGAATGTACACACAAAGATGGAGGGATGTTATACATCATAAAAACAAAAGTAACGCTTAACTAATCAGTAGAAACACTGCAATCATCCTTATTTGTCAGAATCAAAGACATTGCCATAACTGTGAAAAGACTCACCAAGTTTACAGTGACAGATTGTATTTAGAATACTTAGACATGGAGGGCATAAACAAGCTAGTCATTTTAGGTAGACTAGTCAGTAAACCAAGATTTAAGTGAGAATAAACCTAGACCTGGGTGAATGAGCACAACAGCAGATAAGAGCTGGGAGACTTGAAACAGAAGAAAATAAATAAATAATCTCCTAGGCACTTCAATTTAATTGTCAAATTAGAACATAAGAAAATGTTTTGCTATAAAACTGGTTTGCAACATAGATTATATTACAAAGTTTACTTTCAATCTGACAAAATTGACTTGATTACACTACTTTAGGATTACAAGCACAGCAGATGTCAGAAAGAGTAGCTTCCCTTGGCTGGGGTAGGAACAGTTTTAATTAAGCACAGTGTTGATATATGCAAACAGTTATTTTTTAAAAAGGAGGTCATTATGAAAAGCAAATAGAACACAAAAACATGATCAACAATTTGATAGAACATGTTCAATAATGCAGAGTTGGATAAATGAAGCTTCTACATAGAAAATAAAAAAGAAAAGTATTTTAAACAGTTGTATCCAATATTTTGAAATAGTGTTTACATCTTGAGGATTATATAAACAAAGATGAATATACACTGACATATTTATATTTAGAATATACTTATCTATACAGATATGAACATATGTAATGGCTCATGGCCTTTCATATAATAGATACCTATGTATGTACATTCATGCTAATTAATTATAGATAATTGATTATAGTGTCAAGTTTTTATGTTGTCTAATCTAAAGTTAGCGCTATGATATCACATTCACACAAACACAGACATCATCTCAAACATAGAAGATACTCTTTCAAGCCCAACAACAGTGTACATTACATGGCAGATTATTTTGATGAAACCAAAAACTGGTGAAATTGAGCAAAGAGACATGATTTGCAAAAAGATTTTTTTAAATGAGCAAATAAAATACAGAGTCTGAAAAATTCAAACTTCACAGTAATCTAAAAGTCTGCTCGATCAGAAACTGAAATTAGGATATTTTTAGGAATAAAATAATTAAGTAACAACAGTGACTAAGTCTATTATGTACTAAAAAATGCATGTTTCATAGATAGACATTATAATAGAACAATGTTATATTCGGTTTGTTAATATTTGGTGATGTGTACCTTCCTTCTTGAAGGTCATGACTCGAGACTTGGGCGCTCCAAGGACAAACAAACAATGCTATTGTTGAAATAACGAAAATAAAAGTTCCCCTTTCAGACCTTGCGCTCTATGGGGCAGATGAAGTTAAGGTCACCTTATTTGGCAGGGTGTTATATGGGAAGCACAACGACCAACTGCTTTTACTTTCCAACAGCTTAAGTCAGGTGCTCCTTAGAGACGCCCTAAAAATCCGGAAATTCAAAATCTAAGTCTAAACTGAGATTTTAACCCAGGACCCAAGGTTCGGAAGTCAAGCACTTAACCACTTAGCCCTTTCCCCTCAAAATAACAAAGCTACACCATAATATACAACCTGAAAAAAAATATTTTTTTTTCAATGGCAAGACTGCGAGAGAGATCAAGGTAAGAGACCACGCTGGATGAATCTAGTTAGAACAAAAGAAATTTTATTGAGTCAGTATTTTCCAATAGTGTCACTAAACGTTCTTTTCTCTTTATAAATAAAAGTCTCAGATAAAGTCTTTACATATGCATTTTTACACTATAGGTGTGTGAGGGGGGGGGGGACAATAGAAAATGAAAAAGAAAGTATTCAATTAGTTGTTTTTTTTTATTTTTAATTACCTGAAAAGGTATAACTATATATGCTAAACATTATTCAATAATTTAAACATTTTTAACCTCCGTCTGCTTAGAAATAGTTGTTTTTTTTACTAATCTCTATCTTCATTCCATAAGTTATCAAATTTCAGTTCTGAGACTACTTCAGTAGTTTGATCATGAAACATATTAGTGTCGTATATACACAACAAAGCTACATAACTCTTGTTATTGATTCAGGTAATTTATCTTCTCTGAGTTTTCTCCCATGAAACAAACTTTCAAAGAGCAGGTTGACTGTTGTGATTGTTAGGTGTCTGAGATATAGATGATAAGCACACAGCCATCTTGAGTTGATTGACATTTGAATTTGATTGAGATATGGTAAGGTAGGGCAGAGGACAATGATATAAAGATTTTAGCACACTGACCCATATTGATGTACATTGTTTTATCACTGATCAGTTTTGACTGCTCAACACAGCATTTCATGAAGAGAGAACAGCCATTCCAAGCACATGGCCTACACTGCAGCTTTCAAAGACTATCAAGGGAATTTTAAAACCTCAGGTCCATATAAGCACATATGAAATCTGTTTACATATAAGATGTAAAATTCAACAAAACAGATTACTTCCCCTTGCTTAACCAAATCAGTTTGAAGTTGTCTTTGCTTAGCTGCATTTAGACATTTCTATCGACTTCACATTGAAACTAGCAAAGCTGCATCTATGACTTAATTCAGTGCACACCTAGTTTACAAATGTATGCACAAACAACAACCTCATTACAAAACATTTTTTTCACCCATGAAAACCCGTTAATTATGAAAGTGGTCAACAAGCGAAAGGGAGACCGTTCCGTTGGCAAACAAATACATTCAAACCTTTGCCTCTTTTTAAAACATTTCAAATCTGCTCCAATACAAGACGTTGTAATTACAAATATAAATTTTTTAAAATCATGTCAGCAAAAAGTATCGAAACAAAACATAATGCTCAAGTTCAATGTTGCAAAAAGACTTTCATTAAAAAAAAAAAACAACAGAAAATCACAAGCACAACCAAGCCTGCTTCAAAAACTCATTTAACAATCTGAACAAAATGTTTTCTTGTAGCACTGAACATCAGGTGAACTTGTAGGTATCACATTCATTGGTAATACTTTTTTTCCATATCTTACAGACAACATTGCCTGATTAGCAAAGTTTACATTAGCATCGTGTGACCCAAATACTTTATTTAATTACCTGGCCCACCAAAAATAATTAGCCACACCATTGGCTGAAATAATAAATTAAAGTTTACTACCAATGGTTGAAGTAATTGAAGTAATAAATTAAAGTCTACATTTTTTTTTTATATTGTAAACCAAATGTTGTCCCTATTGCTAAAGGCCTAAAATTTGTCCAGCCTTGACCTAAAGACCATTAACTAAATGAAACCATGCTATCAAGGAATGTGTGACTGAGAAGCACAAACCACTTAGATTTCTATCAAGAGGATGTCAGGCCAAACCTCAACTTGAACAGATGTGTTTGCTGAATGCCTGCCAGGGAAACCTTCTCCCCCCCTCCCGCTACTGGTTCATTAGAGATTGGACAGAAGTGCACCAAGTCTGTTATAAGGATGAAAGATGTGCACAAAGAAATTTTGTAAAAATCAACTAAAAAAACAACTCTCAATAGCAGAACGCAACATGAACAGAGGATGTGTTCCCCAAATTAAACAAAATCACAAACTTTCTAGCATGAGCACCAGTGAACAAAGCTGAGTAGAATGTCTGCAGGTACACACCTGTGTGGGATGTCTGCAGGCACACACCTGTGTGGGATGTCTGCAGGCACACACCTGTGTGGGATGTCTGCAGGCACACACCTGTGTGGGATGTCTGCAGGCACACACCTGTGTTGCATGTCTGCAGGCACACACCTGTGTTGCATGCCTGCAGGCACACATCTGTGTTGGATGTCTGCAGGCACACACTTGT